GAGCCAATGTGTGCACCTCTTCCTGTGTCTATGTTCAGTAATAACACATTTGTAGCTTGAAATTGGCCATGGAATGAGTATTTACACCATGGAAATGGGCAAATGCTATAAATTAGGGATTGAGTCTTTATTCTCTCTTGGAGAACTGGTTGAACATTTACCAGCACACCACTGGATATACCAGTTGTAAATCTGAATGCAACTGATTACATGTATGAAGCAAAAAAGTGGGAACCAAAAGGAGAAGCAGGCAAGTATGCAATCTTAGTTGCAGATTTTAACACACTTTTCTCATGTAGTTGATAGGACAAGCAGAGAAAAATAAAAACTTACCAATATAGATAAGGGAATATCCACATATATCTAATATCTATATCTATATATCTATCTCCATGTAGACAAGAAACAGAGAATTAGCAACTTACCCAAGTACCCAAAACCAATGAGTAGGAGAGTTGGAACTGAATTCAAGTTTTCCACCTCTAAGTCCAATATGCCTTCTGCTATGGTTTTATACTCGTATTACAGAAAAGATCTGTGATATTTACCCTATAATGACCACTGTAATTTCTATGCTAATATATAAAAATGGAGAGAAAAGCAAGGCATATTTCTTAATTTTATATATATACATATACTATTGCACTTCAGTTTTAGAAAGTCTTTGAGATATATATATATATATATAAAATATAAAAATCTATATTTACAAAACAAAATATGGTGATAGCATGGCTTTCAAACAGATGAATAATTCTATTAAGGGATTTAGCATGATTTTCTTTGGTGATAACTATCATGGAACTATTAAATCTTTAACGATGATGATGATAAAGATGATGATGAAGAAAGCAACAGCAGCAGTAATTTGTAGAGTGATTACTTTGTTCCAGGTACTGTTCTAAGCATTTCTAATATTAACTTATTGAATCCATTCAACAACCAAATGAGATAAGTACTTTTATTACCCCTATTTCAGTGAAGAAACTGAGACAATGAAGTTTCAATAATACACCCAACACACACAGTTAATCCTCAGAGTACTCGTAACTATTATACTGCCTATGATTAAATTGATTAAAATTTGCTTTGAATATGATATTTCAAGAACACATTTAAAACACAAAGCAAGGCATTTCTGTCCTTTATATAATTCTTAAATGGTCTCTAGAAAAATAATTTATGTCTCTGAACTAAGTTATTATTATTACTTTTTTAGAGCAGAATATATAGCACATAGACTGAAACTAAGATACAGTTTCTTTAATTTAGAATCAACCTCTGTGCTCCTTTTTGAAAACATTTCTATCTTCTCTAAACAGGAAAAGACATCTTTGTCATAGCTCCATTTTAAAAATTGCGATAAAATATATATAACACAAAATTGACCATCTTAATCATTTTTAAGTGTATTATTCAGTAGCACTAAGTATATTATATTATTGTGCAGCCATCTCCAGAACTCTGTCATCATCCTAAACAGATACTCTATGCATATCAAAAATAATTCCCACCTCATTTCCACCTCCTCTAGCCTCTGGTATCTTCTATTATACTTTCTGTATGAATTTGTCTATTCTTGGTATCTCATATAAGTGGAATCGTGTAATATTTGTCCTTTCATGTCTGGCTTATTTAACTTAGCATAATGTTGTCAAGTTTCATCTGTGTTGTAACATATATCAGAATTTCATTCCTTTTTAAGGCTTAATAATATTGTATGTATATACCACATTTTATCTATTCATCTGTTGATCAAGCTTTGGGTTTCTACAGCTTTTAGCTATTGTGAATAATGCTTCTATGAACATTGGTGTACAAATATGTTTGAGTCCCTGTTTTCAATTCTTTTGGGTATATACCTAGAAGTAGAATTGCTGGATGATACGGTAATTCTATATTTACCTCTTAAAAAACAATATATATTTTTAACTCTTTTTTCAAATCCAAGATCAGGAAGAATATATATTTAACTTTTTAAGGAATCACCAAACTATTTTCCACTTTGGCTGTATCATTTTACATTCCCACCAACTATTCACTATTCAAGGCTATTCACTATTCAATTTCTCCACACCCTTGAGTACACTTATTTTCCTTTTATTTTTTGTAATAGCCATCCTAATGGGTGTGAAGTTCTGGGGTGTTTTCCAACAGGAATAACCAATTTTCCAATTCTCCAGACACCACGTTGGATGTCCAACAATTAAATTCAATTCTGACACTACCTGGAGTTAGGATCAGATTCCATAGATAAATGGGTTCTGTCTTCTTCCCAAGTCTCCCTCTACTGAAGATGCCAACTGCAAGTCCCAGGCTGTTTGTAATTCTGACCAACCAACTATAAATGTAGGATTCCCATGATCCCGCCTCATGTTCAGCCATTTACTACGATGGCTCACAGGAAAATACTTATGTTTATTTATTTATTTTTTTGTAAAGGATACAACTCAGAAACAGCCAACTGGAAGAGATGCATTAGGCAAAGTATAGGAGTGTGGTGCAGAGCTTCCACGTCCGACCTGGGCATGCCACCTTCCCAGCAGCAGGTCAATGTGTTCACCAACTGGAAAGCTCTCTGAGTCTCACTGTTCAAGCGTTTTTATAGAGCTCAATCTCCAGGCCCTGCTCTCCCCTGTTCCCAGAGGTCAGTAGGTGGGGCTAACATTCCCAACCCTCCGATCGCTTGGTCTTTCTGGTGATGAGCTCCATCCTGAGGCTCTTTAGGGGCCTCGCCCTAAAAACCCTTATTAGAATGGTCAGGTGTGATTGAAAAGGGCGTATCATAAATAATAATATACTCCTTTCACTCAGGAAATTCCAAGGGTTTTAGCAGCTATATGTCAGGAAAAGGGACAAAGACCAAATAGATTTTTGTATTATACCACAGAATTGGTACCTCCTTATGGTTTTGATTTGCATTTCCCTAATGACCATTGATTTTGAGCATCCTTTCCTTCATTAGACATTTGTATATCTTCTTTGGAGAAATGTCTATGCAAGTCTTTTGCCCATTTTTCAAACTGGTTTGCTTGTTTTTTTGTTGTTGAGTTGTAGGAGTTCTTTATATATTCCGGATATTAATCCTTTATCAGATATATGATTTGTAAGTATTTTCTCCCATTCTATGGGTTGCTTCTTCACTTTCTTGAAAGTTTTCTTTGATGCACAGAATTTTTTTTGATGGAGTCCACTTTATGTATTTTTTCTTGTTGACTGTGCTTTTTGTATCATTCTAAGAAATCATTGCCAAAGCCAACGTCATGAAGACTTTCTCCTATGTGTTCTTCGAAGAGTTTTATAGTTTTAGCCCTTTGTTTAGGTCTTTGATCCCATTTTGAGTTACTTAAGGTAAGGGTCTAACATCATTCTTGTACATGTGGATATCTAGTTTTCCCAGAACCATTTTTTGAAAAGACTGTCCTTTCCCCAGTGAATAGCATGGCACCCTTATTGAAAATAAATTGACCATGTATGTGAGGGGTTATTTCTGGATCATGGCCTCATTTTGTAGAAAGAGGAAATAGGCTCTATAATCCTTTTGTAGGCATATAACAGATATTGTCTAATAATGTAAATATACATAATAGCACAGAATGGCTTTGCCAGAGGGGCCATTACATATAATAAAAGCATACTGTAAGAAAAGAGGAAAAAAAATACCACCAAAAATGATTTATAGCTACATTTTTATTATAGATAGGTAAGTGTAGTTTGCTGTGGCTAAAGATATGTTTATAATGGATGAACGAGCTTTTCCTATATACCAAGAGGTATAATATTTTTCTTTTAATACTGAACTAATATTTTTCTGACAACAAGGAAAGACTGAACTGGCTGAGCCTATTTTAAATGGGAAAAGACTTTTTTTCTTGGATGTTGCTTTAAAGACTGGTAAGTTAAATCCTTTTAAGTACTAACACACTAAATTTAAGAACAGTGAAAGAAAAATCAATGAATACTACAAAAACATGTAATTTCTATGAAGCAGAAATATATAGCTTTTATAATTTAAAACAGCAGCATTTCAAAAGATATGCTGAATTAAAACTTTACAAAATATATATATACAATGTATCATTCCAGATGATCATGGATTTTTAAAACAGTATATCACAACTCCTAGTCTCTAACCCAAACCTACTACTGGATGTAGCTGGCCTATAATAATTTTTACAACAATTTAAAAAATAAAACAAAACAAAAAGAAACCTCCCAATTCTTTTGTGTACAAGCATAGGTTACAATATGCTGGCTTTGATTCCATATGCACAGAGAATTTTAAAATAAAACAAGGACTTCACATAAATAGTTTTACTTGTTATTAAGTATGTGACCAAACAAATTAAAATAAGTACTAACAACCAAAACATATCTTGATGTAACCAGTACATACACTCTTAAAGAATGACAAAGATGAAAAAAGAAATAAAATAGTCTATGAAAGCCATATGCACCTTGTTTTAGAAAGAGCACCAAGCAACACAAAAAGGCAACACGTAAGAGGTAGTGTACCACTGGCTAAGATGTATATCCCACTGGGGACCTGAATACAACTTAGTGTTTTGGAAAATAAGACATATTAGACTGTGGCTTGTAATTTTTAGACAGAAGCATTGCACGTTTGGGAGCATTAGCCAGTATTGCTCCACAGTGCTCTGCGTCTCCAGCTGTCTAATGGGTACTTTGCTCTCAAACAGTCAAAAAATATAGGAAACCCTGAAGAATTCCATATTTATAAATTTTCAGTTCTAGGGAATTCTCTAAGAAAGCTGAGATCCATATAATTTTTAAAAGAATTAAATACTTTATCAATCATAGTCCTTTGAAAAATGCCTTTTCTCCTTCTTAGGAGGAAGTCTTTCCTTCCTGAGATTCTTTAAGATTTAGCCAATGCTTTATTCCATATATTTCATAATGACAGTATCTTTCTGCCTATGTTTTTCCCTCTGCAGCAATTACGTGGCCAATAGCATGAATTCTGAACTAATTCAGAAACTTTAAAGAAAGCACACAGAACTGCTTTCAATGTAGTATTTCTGTTCGGTTTTGAGATGAGGAAGTTTTTGTACTTCAATCACTGGAAGGTGATTAGGCTCCTGGGTGTGAAAAAGAAATGTTGCCTTATGCCAGCTGCCATCTTGAATCTGTAAAATAAGAATAAAACACATGTATTTCATCAGCAGTCATTCTCAGCAGACAATGCCCTTCATAAACAATGTAGGCTTATTTTAACACATTAACTGCCAGGAGAGCTGTATTTAACTCACTCTAATTTTGACCCTGGGGCCATGTGCAGCATATATAAAATCTTACTTGTTGATGTTCTTATTGTTACAATTAATATTGATAATTTAATTCTAAAAACATGGATTAAATGAATAGAAGTCAATAAATTCATTTTTCTATTTATGTTTACCTTTAAATTACACTTGAAGTTTTTATTCTATTTCTGTAATAATACACTGGCCCCAAGGAAAAGTTTCTGTTTTTTTGTGTGGCAGTCAACATGTTATGGATTAGAGATAATGAATGGAAAGCACCTAGAACAATGCTCAATAAATGCTAATAATTACTATTATTAATTGAAAATTGGTTTCATTCCTTTCTCTATAATGGCATTATGTGTTCTAATTTTTTGCTTCCAGAGGCTACAATCAGGCTTCTGCTTCAATTGTCTGTGGTTCATTGGACCAGATATGACTTAAAAGGCTGCATTATTCCTTATCATTTTATTTATTTATTTTT